GTGTAGGGCCCATATTTCTATATTTACAGGTATGTCCCTCACGAATTTCCCATACAGGCAGGTCTCTCGGTTAGTCCTCAGCCAAACAAAATTACCAATCTGTCCCTACCTAGAGTACAGCCTCGTCAGAGATAGGCTACAGGCGACCTGGAACCAGCAAGTCATTGCATCTATCTGGACTTGCATTGTTGACAACTGTGTTCACGATCTGGGTTCATTACAATTTGGTATCAGAGCATCTCTTCATCGCGATCTGCTGTTCTCTGACACGTGCTGACGTGGCACCCATGTAAGTGCGAGGTGCCGCAAGTGCAATATGAAACGCGTTTATTAACGCGCGCGGTCATACCGCAAGTCTAGACATGGTAGTAGCGCACTTGTGAGCAACCATCCCTTGAAGATGATGACAGGCTACATTGAAGTTTGAAGAGCTGCGTTGGCAACAGGCTGACGTGGCATTGGTACCGGTGATGTGGCATATTGTTTCTTGGCAGGATATGGTCTGACGTGGCACGTGTCTGTGCCGTGATTACCTGATGATTGGGCATTGACGTGGCATGCCAGTGTATGCGTGTGACAAGCACACATTGCTGATGTGTCATCCCCCTTGTATACCTCCGGGTTCTTGATGTGCTGACGTGGTAGACTCCAACGAGCTGCTGTGTTGGCATGCCAGGGGTGACACGTGGCATGAGTTGGGTGAGTTGTCGAGTGTGTTGGTCGCTGTAGGTAGTACAGCTATAGAGAGAGGAGGCTGGCAATTGTTTGTGATTGTTGTGTTGGTTTCCTACTTACCTGCTGGCTGTTCTGTGGTGTCCTTGCATACTCACCTGTGTGCTGATGTCTTGATCACACTGGCCGTAGCTGCGGTACCTGCACATATACGGTAAAACGTCATCACACAGATTAGGAAAGTCAGACAGCAAAATAGATTAGTAAATTAGTGATCAATGATCATCATCTGTTTCTTTGTATTTGCCTCGRTGAACTCTTGCTGTGAAAGATTGTGTGCGTCGTGGAATTTATTTCTGTCTTTTAATTTTATWTATTGTGCAGCATCTGCACGCTTGGCAGAATGCATTCTCTTTGGAAATGTCTGCGTGCCTCTATCTTGACTCGGTTCATACCCCTCTTCTTTTTTCCTATCCCTCTCACCGTCTTTGTTGATGAAGAGAGAGTGGAACTGAAAACCCGTGGACAGATTGACGGAAGGAGACGAACTTTGTTGGGTCTCCTTCGTCAACTGCTTGGCGAGATACATGTTCACGGACAGGTCAATCTGCGTGATGCAGAAGGAGATCTGCAGGCCGCTGAAACTGCTGTTCAGATGATGGAGACAGGCTAGAGAGTCGAAGAACTCATCAAGCAAGGACGATTAGTCCTTGATCGGTATGTCGCCGAGGGCCTTGAAAAATTAGACCGGGAAAAGAAAGAAAAGAAAGAAGAGAGAGTTTGAAGAAAAGAACCACAATTGTCTGTGGAATTGATGGAGGAAAACATCAGACAACTTGAAAACACATTGAAAGAAGAGAGAAGAAAGATCGAAGAGTATAGAAGATTGAAAGAACAGCAAGAAGAAGAAGAGAAAGTAATGGAAGAGTTGAGGCAAAGGTTTCACTATGAAGAAGCAGGAAGCGAGGTTGCATCTATTCTCCAGTCTATTATGGTCTACCTCATGCATCTTGAAAAGAAGATTGAGATTAACACCGCCGCAGTTGAGTCCATGACTAGAATGATGAAAGGAAAAGACAAGGTGGTGTATGAAGAGGTGGCCAAGGGGGAAGAAGATAAGAAACCCCAGGAGAAACTAATGATGCAATGAAACGGGTCACGCCCGAGAAAGCCGAAGGTTCTAAGAAAGAACTTGAGAAGTCGGAATAGAAGAAAGAAGAACCCACCGGAAAGAAAGAAAAACCGACAAAAGAAGTGGAAAAACCCAAAAAGAAAGAAAAGGTGAAAATGAAGTTGCCTTTCACCTACAGCAACAAGAAAGATGGATTGCCGAAATCCAAACTAACTCCAGTGCTTGTTCCTTGCTTAGGTGCCCGCTACTCGTCGGGTTGCCTTCGAACCTGTATAACATTCCTGGTATACCCGAATGGAACCCTATTATGGCCCTGTTGGTGCTTGCCTCGGCAAAAAGGTGTGCCACAGGGCTTCCATTGGTCCACGCAGGCCCGGCGCCCTGCTGTACAACAGAGCACAACCGGCCTGTGGCCGTGGTAGCTGTCGGGCTCGCCCTGGGACGCGGAGGTGAAGGGACTGGCTCAGTCTTTTCAACTGCGCGCCAAGTGCCCCTCTAAACAGGTTATGGGTTAGGTGCACGGGACAGATGTCGCTGTCGGGTAGAAAAGGACTTAGAAGAGGAAAGTAAAAAGAGAAAGAAAATACGAAAAAGAAAATAAAAAGTTAACCGTCAAGGCTATGCAAAGCCATGAGTACTTGTCTTAATTCGGGGGTGGCCAGCGGTTTAGTTTCCAGGCCGCGGTCGCTATCAGGTAACCGGGCCTACTTGGAGTTGAAAGGACCGTCTGGTCCTGATGGTCGTGATACAGGCCGGGTACAGGGACGGGATAGGGATAACCCGTGTGGATGTTTCAACCGCGCGCACTGGACTCCAGTAGCTGTGCTTAGGGGTAGATACAGTGATGATTGTGAAAGGAAAAGTGTGAAAAGGAGAGAGAGAGGGAACAGGTCGAGAGTCGGGCTTCAGACTTGTATATGGAGTCTTATCACTGTCCAGACGAGGCTGCTGCGCAAAGAAAATTTGAAGCGCCATCCTTTCTTTCTGCGGTTATTATAATTATTATTTTTTTTATTATTGTTATTACTAAATTCTCTTTCGACCTTTCGGCCCGCTGTTTCGCGGGAAGGCCAACGACTAGAATTACGGGTGCAGTGGCAATCTGTGGTTTAGACTGACCCTGACTTCTCGCTTATTTCTCTGCGCCGAATCCGTCCAACTGAACACCATGTAGTTAGGCCCCAAAAAGGGGGCGACCCGCGGCCGCATCGGTAGGAGGCTTATCACCCTCCGTGGAAGGTCATAAGCCCCCTCCTTGCTATCGGACACGGGTACCCAATAGGAGTAGGTCGGCAGTGCATTTTAAAAAGGAGGGTATGGTCGTCGGTATCCCATTATGGGACCTCTGTTATTTTTTTTTTCTTTTAGACCTTGGTCATGTTGCACGGACTAGGGACTGACGTGATGGTGGTTTGAGTGCCCTGTCTGTGCACAGGCTGTTGAGTTCCGGCCTCACGTGTTCAGAAATAACTTGATCTCGTGTTATTTTATTGATTTTGAATTTTGAATTATTATTTGATTTTCCCCTTTGTACACAGCGACCTCGGCCCCTCTGAGTTCTATAAAATAGGGCAGATCTTGAGTTTCCTAGCAGGTGTGTGAGGGGAATGCTACCGCTCTGCGAACGAGGGTAGTGGTAGTATGCTGAGTTCGCGCTTGAAGCCATCGATCTTGGCATAACTATAAGGGAAACTTTCCTTTGAGGCTACCTGATTGAGAGTGTCGAGGATAGACTGCCCAACTGAAAAAGGATTGATCTCACTCGTGAGCTCAATTAAATTGATACTTCCTGACAAGAGGAAGGAAACCGACTTTGGCCTGATGAGTGTCTGAGTGAAAGTAGGATGAAGTTTTACTCAAGGGTTCTCTGCACCCCCAAACAAAGTAGCGGTCGAGTAGGAGATTTCTTGCTAATTATGGGCTCTTATTGTTGTATCGCGTGCAGAGTCTAAGGGTACCGAAACTCAGGTAAGGGCCCGTCCGATCGGAACTTTAGCCCGTAAGCAGAGACTCTGGGCTTCGGGGTGGGTTCATGCATTCAACACAGTGAATCCAAATGTGATCGAGTACCGTCGGCTCAGCCACTCATACGCCGCATGGTATTCAACCAGGGTACCAGGGCTCAATTCTCGGCCCTAAGTATAACCCACTCGCCCTTCTTCAAAGGCGAACCATAATCATTACGCCACTCTAACCAAAAGTCTGACCGGGTCTTTCACCTAAACTCCCTGATTCCTGGTACCTGACCAGTCCGTACTCAGGTTCAGTTGAAACAGATATGAGCAAAATCTCCGAGAAGTAGAGTGCCATTAACATTTCTCATGAGATTTCGTCGGGCTATTTTCACTTGATCCACAGACGTTGACTCTCAGTCGCGCACAAAATAAGCCCCAGGGTAACCGGACAGATGACTGTGGAAAACATATCAACTGCAGTGGCCAGGAATAAGGCTTGCTGTTTTAGCCTGGTCGGTATCCCCACGTGTGGTGTGAGTGCGAGCTAAGCCCTGGCACTTGTTATTGGAGAGAAGGCGGCTTTGGTGTATGCTGTGAGCTTTCTAGTGCGCACAGCTTTGGGGCAGTGGTCTGGTACGGCGCTGAGTCTATTTGGTGAAGCCTGGCTATGGCGCTGCATGGCTATACGTCGGGTTACTGGTATCTCCAGACGCGCTGGAAACCCATGTCTGGAGAAGGTCCCTGGATCACAGTAATGCTTAACTACGATGGAGGGGACGAACTGAGGCTGAAGATCAACGTGGAAGGGGCTAAGGAGGTGGAGATGCGGACTAACCCAAATCTACAAGACGCGATCACAGAGGCAAAGGATCGTGCGGAGAGTTGCTGCAGGAGGGATGGAGTGACAACAAAAATGCTGGTAACGGTCTCGTATCATGAGACCGAGACCTCGATGGACACAGCGGACAGGGAACAAGCCCATCTGGACCGGGACTCAGGTGGGGAGAGGGAGATGAGCGAGGCAGACCGGGAGACCGACCTTCAATCCTGGAACAGGCCGGACCAGGTCCGCAAGAACCACCCACTGGCACGATGTGGGTGAGAGAGGGAGTCTGAATGAAGGAGGGAGTCGGTTCCAAGAGAAGAGACGACAGTAAAGCTTGCGTGCTTGCGGAACATGGAGAAAGTTCGGGCTCCCACATAGAGTAGTTGATGTCATCATTACCTGGCTTGGGAGTAGCGAGAACTCCGTCCTCTCAGGGACCCGAGCTGTCACTTCAAGATAGCTAAAGAGATGCCAGTCCCATTTACCGTATGCCTTCCAGGGAACTTGAGGAGTTACGAAAACAGCTGCAGGAACTTACTGACAAGGGATGGATTCACCCTAGCTCATCTCCTTATGGTGCACCTGTCTTGTTTGTGCCTAAAAAGGAAGGTGAACTACACCTATGCATTGACTACCGTGGGCTGAACTCCGTCACTGTGAAAAACGCGGAACCTCTTCCGCGTATTGACGACCTGTTGGACCAATTACAGGGATGCAGGTACTTTAGCAAGATTGATCTCAAGTCAGGGTACCACAAGATCGATGTGGTTCCTGAAGATCAACACAAGACGGCGTTTCGAACAAAGTATGGTCACTACGAGTTTGTGGTAATGCCTTTCGGTTTGACTAACGCCCCTGCAACCTTTTAGCGGTCTATGAATGAGTTGTTTCGCCAATGGTTAGACCAATTCGTAATTGTCTATCTCGACGATATTCTAGTGTATAGTAAGACACTAGAAGAGCACGAGAAACATCTTCGGATGGTCTTGCAGAAGTTGCGTGAAGGCAACTTCAAACTGAACCCGAAAAAATCTGAGTTCACGAAACCTGAAGTCTTATACTTAGGGCATATGGTAAACGAGGAAGGACTTAGACCTGAAGAAAAGAAGATTACAGCAATCAGAGATTGACCACAACCTAAGACTATAACTGAATTGAGATCTTTCCTAGGACTTGCCAGTTATTATAGGAAGTTCGTAAGAAACTTCTCCCTGATAGCTGCTCCTATGAGAAAACTGCTAAAGAAAGAAAAACCTTGGTTGTGGGACAAAGATTGTGAGTCCTCATT